AAATTCGAACAAAACATTCGAAATAGAAAGCCACTTTCAACCACTTTCAGCCTCATATCTCCCGCACCCTTATAGCTATCGAGACGCAACCACCCCTATGCACGAATGGAGACTTGGGGCTACCACCACATACAAACACCATTCACGTGCGATGTGTAGTTTTGGCGAAAAAGTGAGATATAGGGACATACATGTCCATTTATATATATATATATATAATTTAAAAATCTTAAATGGAATATTTATTTCAAGCCAATATTTTATAAGTTTACACAAAGTTTTTATAGTAATTCTATGATAAATTATCATTTTAAATTACTGATAAAAACAGCAAAATTCTTTGTGAACAAGAAGTTGGGATTGAAGATGATGTTATTACCATTTCAAAATTATAAGTTTAAAAAATGAATTTTAGTATTTAAACTTTTGCATATTTGAAAAATTGTTTCTGTACATTTTAAAAATTTATATTTCATTTTTTAGTAAAAGAAGAAAAAGTAGACAATACATATATTTCAGAACCACGTAGATCAACACGAAAACGTAAAGTGGTAGTATTTGAAGAATTAGATGAGATTGATCGTCCATCACCACCAACTCCGTCAAGGCGAGGTCGTCCGCCAAAAAATAACCGAAATAGAAATATAAGAACAATTGAAGGTAAAAATAAAACAAATTAGAACTTTTTATACTAAACGTAAAAGAATAATAAAATATATGATTAAATTAATTTTGCTTAAACAATTTTTTTATAATTTAAAAACTAATTATGAATATTTTTTCATTTTAATTTACAAGTGGAAGATGACCAAAGTGAAATTGACACAGTAGTACTTCCTGCTTCAGTTGGTGATCCAGAAATCTTAGCTAGGAGAGAACAAGAATTAGCTAGAAAAAGATTAGAACAGAAACAAAAAGATATGGCTGAATGTTTTGGATTCAATGTAAGTATATTATTATATTGGTGTTTATCAAGAGTATGTAATAATAAAAATGAGAAATTAAAATAATTTTTTTATAAAATACAGTACAGTGTCGTTTATCCGAATCAATTACGGACTCGGGTTGTTTGGATAACTTATTTTTCGGATAACCAATTATGTACAAAAAAATATATTAACCTATCCCATCCTGAAATTTTTCTCCATTGCGTATCACTTCACGTTGAATTTTTGTCAATGTTAAACCTAACGTAAACTTTTTAAAATAATAATCGTGGCTATTGTATTGTTAATAATTATATCTTTATTTTGTACAAACAAAATAAATATATTGAAAAATATAAAAACAATAAAAAAATTNTATAATTTAAAAATCTTAAATGGAATATTTATTTCAAGCCAATATTTTATAAGTTTACACAAAGTTTTTATAGTAATTCTATGATAAATTATCATTTTAAATTACTGATAAAAACAGCAAAATTCTTTGTGAACAAGAAGTTGGGATTGAAGATGATGATATTACTATTTCAAAATTATAAGTTTAAAAAATGAATTTTAGTATTTAAACTTTTGCATATTTGAAAAATTGTTTCTGTACATTTTAAAAATTTATATTTCATTTTTTAGTAAAAGAAGAAAAAGTAGACAATACATATATTTCAGAACCACGTAGATCAACACGAAAACGTAAAGTGGTAGTATTTGAAGAATTAGATGAGATTGATCGTCCATCACCACCAACTCCGTCAAGGCGAGGTCGTCCGCCAAAAAATAACCGAAATAGAAATATAAGAACAATTGAAGGTAAAAATAAAACAAATTAGAACTTTTTATACTAAACGAAAAAGAATAATAAAATATATGATTAAATTAATTTTGCTTAAACAATTTTTTTATAATTTAAAAACTAATTATGAATATTTTTTCATTTTAATTTACAAGTGGAAGATGACCAAAGTGAAATTGACACAGTAGTACTTCCTGCTTCAGTTGGTGATCCAGAAATCTTAGCTAGGAGAGAACAAGAATTAGCTAGAAAAAGATTAGAACAGAAACAAAAAGATATGGCTGAATGTTTTGGATTCAATGTAAGTATATTATTATATTGGTGTTTATCAAGAGTATGTAATAATAAAAATGAGAAATTAAAATAATTTTTTTATAAAATACAGTACAGTGTCGTTTATCCGAATCAATTACGGACTCGGGTTGTTTGGATAACTTATTTTTCGGATAACCAATTATGTACAGAAAAATATATTAACCTATCCCATCCTGAAATTTTTCTCCATTGCGTATCACTTCACGTTGAATTTTTGTCAATGTTAAGCCTAACGTAAACTTTTTAAAATAATAATCGTGGCTATTGTATTGTTAATAATTATATCTTTATTTTGTACAAACAAAATAAATATATTGAAAAATATAAAAACAATAAAAAATTATACTTCAGAAGTTAATCTAGTATCAAAAATGTAAAATATTTGAGTAGCCCAAGACATAACCAAAGATTGCAGCACCACAGCACTAGTAAAAATTTAAATTTGTCAGCTGGAATTCTTTCGGATAACTGATGTTTCGGATAACCGACTTTCGAATAAACAATGCTCTACTGTAAATAGGAAAATATTTATAGAATTATTAATAAAATTAAATAAGTTGAATGAAAATTTTTTCAACTAATTGAAATTATTTTCAATAAATATAAATTTGTTTTATATTTTTTCATTATTGGTGATTTTTTTTTTTAATAAAAATTTTAAAATTAAACAGAATAGCAATGTTGATGAAAAAGTTCTAGGTTTACTTCTGTGTTACAATAATTCATTTTTTCAAATAGACTAGAAATATTATTTTAATTTTCAGTTCTTTTCAAATTTATTATATCATTTGAAATGTTAAAGACTAAATGTCTAAGTTTAAAATAACTATTGAAAAAAATTTTCACAATAATTACAAGAATGCAATGATACTTTTCTGAATATTGTTGCTTTCTAAATTTTTCCCATTTCAGATATCTAAAATTAGTAGGCAAGTCTGTAAAAATTTTTTTAGTTTATATTGCATAAACACACTAATAAAATAATTAGTAGTGTAGTGCATATAATAATGAAATTTGAATGAATAAGCAATAATTTATAGACCATCAAAATACCACTTAAGTTGCTCAGATAATTTATTTAAAGCTAAACTAACATTTTAATATTTAATTTTATATCTGATTTTTGTTTTATTTTATATATATATATATATATATATATATTGGGGGGNTTATGTATTCTATTTTACACCATTGTTTTATTTAACCTGAGGATGGCATATTGAATAGGGTGAAAACTTTAGTTTAGCTTTAAATAAATTATCTCAGCAACTTAAAGAGTATTTTGATGGTCTATTTATTATTTGCTGAGTGAGTTTTGTTAATTGGTAATGATTTATTTTCAATTCATATAAGGCAATAATTACTTTTGCTTTCTGATATGTTATTTGTTGAATACAGTTATACAAAATTCAATAAAATTTTTCACTTTGACTCTAATTTTAAATTTCAATATGTTTTTCTTAATATACTTAAAACAATATATGATTAAAAATTATGTAGATTAAATTTGAGTACTATTATTATTATCATTATTATAAATTCATTATCAAAATGATTGATATATCTGTATTTATTATTTTGTCTTGATGGTTTAGATTATACATTCTTGTTTGAAATGTAGATATTTTTCTCTTTTATTATTATAATTCTGTTTAATTAATAATTATGAAAAGAAAGAAATATTTACAAATGATTAAAATTGTTTTGTATATTCTAAAGTATAATTATGGGAATTGTGTGTGTCCATTAAAACATGTCGTAAATTGGAAGTTGATATGATTCAATGTATTTGGATAATATCAGCATCTGCATGGTAATAATAACTATTAAAACTTTATAAACAAGCATTAAATCAATTAATAAACACAATATCAAAAGTTTTTAATTTTAAAAAATGTGTTACATATTCATATAAGATAGTATTATATTATGTAATTATAGGTTTTAATTTATAATTTCATATTAAATTTCTAATATTTTTTATAGGATGATGACGATGAAGCAGAAACTATATTAGCTATGCCAGTTGTTCCAGGTACATCTCAGTCACTAGAAGTGATACCAAAGACCCATAATGAAGCTGATTCAAACATATATATTTTAACTACTGTTCCACACAATGGAACCTCAGTTGATAATCAGCAAAGTACATAATATATAGTGCTCTTGTTATCAAACTGTTGAATGCATATCCACTCTGTGGATTGAAGTCTTTACTGTATAACAACTTGTATAGGAAAACATGATATGAATTGGACGAAATTGTCATCATCAATTGCCATCACTTCTGGGTTTGTACATTGTTCTTTTATTTCCATCACATTTTCTACCATCACTGTTGTTCCTAGCATCAGATTATAGAATAAATTCAAAATATCCTAATTCAAATATCTCAGATTTTGAAACTATTTCTACAAATGATGGCTACATTAAAATGATATCAAAACTTGTTTAAGTAAGGGACATTCCAACTTCTATTTCAAGTTATGAAAGATTTATAAAACATGTTATTCAACAAAACTACAGTTCTATTCATCAAACATGGAAAATTGGTTCAATTCTTTATCATAAAATTAGAAGAAAATTATATCCAGCACAGTTTTGCACAATAATATATATATATATATAATCTCTCATTATCAATTTAAAGACTGCAATAATTATATTTTAAAGTGGATATAATAACAGAAGGTCTCTTTAGTCATTTGTAACACCTTCCACCATTAGTATGACTGACAGAATTGGATTTATTGAATATAAATATAAAATTCAGGAAATTCTGAGAAATTATCATGTTTAACAATGTTTAATGGTCTTTCAGTATCGGAACAACTAATCATTTTGTCTTTTGCTTGTGCACTGGTTATTTTGAGTTTTTCTTCGAAAAGTAAGTGTACAATATGATTCTCCAATAAAATTCATTGCACAATTAAACTTATTTGATACAGTATTAGGCATGTCAAAGATAATATTTTATATTGCGAGTTGCTGATAAAATTTTGTGTACTTTTATGTATTGAGCAAATTGAAGACTTTCTGTAAATGACCATATGTCATGTAATATTATATGTTAAAATTTAGGAAAAGATCTATATTGTAATCTTTTAAATGTATCTCAAATGGCAAACTTATGTAGGATCCACTGCAACATACTTCATGACATAGGTAAAAGCTGACATATATGGATACTGTGTATCTCTGTTGTGATATATGTATTTATGCTGCAGTGGATTGCATTCACAACTTATTGTGAATCCAGAGAGTACATTTAATATATGTTATTCATTGAACTGTGAAGTTATTCCAGTTCTTCCAACAAAAAGAGATTGTCTGCAATCCTAATTTTTATTTCCCTGATGATGTTTCTTTTCCAACTATTCTAGATGGATAAAACCATATTTATTTCATTTACCACGCTCACCTAAATTTTGGTAGGTAAAATATGAAAAAGTTAATAAACGTTATTATTTTCAATGTGAATCACAGACAAATTATTTTGATACATTTCCTGCAGCTGCAATATAAATAATTTACATAAACTAATATATATGATGATATAAGATTATATAATATTCTTAATTACATAAATACTGTATTTATATTAAATAACAAAATGTAACAAAATATGAATTAAATCTATAAATTTACAAAATATAATAATTCAGAAATTGCTTCCACTTTTACATTAATATATAAAAGTTGCCTATGCATCCATGAAACGCACCTCCATTTCCAAAATGTTATTGTTTTGGAGAAAAGGTGAGTGTGGTACGTGGAAAAATACGGTAAACTTAATTTTAAATATTATCCCAGATGTTCTTCGAATCTACCTGAAGAGAGGAAAATTTTTACAATTAAGAACAAGAAATCTTCAATAAATAAGATGGATAAATTTCAAGAAGAAATGTTGTTTATAATCTCTCATCTTTCTCTTCCCCGACACAGCATCCTAGCAATGATACTCCTGTGATTAAAATTAGTCTTATGTGACGCTTGTCTGATTCAATGTATCATTAACAACATGCACTATTAATACTGTATCAATAAAAGACCTACAGGGTATGCCTATAGACCGCTTCTCAAAGGATATCTCATTATCTGATATTAATACATTTATAGTTTGCCTTAAAACTTCAAAATTCGTTTAATGTAGTTTCACTCTGTGTTCTTTACTATAATTGTAAAATTAAACTTGTAATTTAATTTTACAATTTTATAAAACTCAAATTTAATTATAGTTTGGAACATTCAGTAAAACTGCATCCAATAATGTCGGGACCGTGGGCTTTACAGATAAATGAGAAAAGACTGTTAAAGAAGAAACTTTTCTATAAATTATATAAAAAACGTTTATGTATATCATATCTATTTCCAACATAAATAAGGAAAGTAAAACACAAGTCAAATACATATTCAATTTTGATTTAAAAGAAAAATTAGTTTCAATTAATCCTCTAAAGAGGTAATCTTTTCCAATCTTAAAAATTACACTTGTGTTGACTCTACTTTTTACATTTCAAACATGGATATACATTTAACAACATAACTTGATTAGCTGCACTAATGCTTAAATTATCAAGTTTGAATCTTACTATAATAGTGATAATATTTACATTTGTTATATTATGTTGTCATTTATTAAAAACAAAAATATGTATAAATTCTCTCTTTTTTTTTTCTTTGCATTTAATTAAGCTGCAGTATGCATACACATTATTTTTCTATATTTGATTCTAACATATAAATTCTCAATTTTTGGGGGAGTTAGCACATACTGTGTTTTGACAAATATTAAGAGATTAAATTTTCGTTTTTTGATAAAGTTCATTTAACTACACCAGAATCGAACTAGAGAATACATTTTACATGTAAATAGTAGACGTATACACTAAGGCAGTGTTTTCCAACTTTTTTCTAACACTTGAATCCCCAACTTGTAAATTTTCTTTCTTACTGCATCCCTACTTCATCAATGTAGAGTTATTGCGATTTTCGTAGTTTTAGTAATATATGTAAGTGTTAACGGCGTTGCTCAGCACTCCTGATGTATTGTGGTGCCCTGGTTAAAAAACCACTGCAATAATAACTTGTGAACCAGATGGAATGCCAGCTTCGGTCATATACGAGTTATTGGTCGAACGACAGTTGCAGTATGTAGACAAATCTGAAGTGAATGTAAAAATTCCCAATTTCAGTTTTTATCAATATATTTGCGTTTTATTTTTACTATATAATCTTGTAATAAGTTGCATGACAAATTTACTTTCCAGCTGTCATAACATAACACGGGAAAGTATTGTGATCGTGTTGAATGACCCAGTTTTTTTTTCTGCAAATCTCGACGTTGACATCTATTTCGTTTTACATCTAAAGATATGGTAATAAGAAATTAAATTTGGCTTGTAACTTGTAAGGGGCATTGAAACTATTAAATTTTGGAGCGTGGAACTCAAGGGTGTGGGGAGATAAAGGTCGACTTAATGAAAATTTTACTTGTTGGCATTTACAATATTTTTAAAAACTCTTCGCTACTCGTCAAAATCAAGCCTTTTTTCGCTTTTTTCTTTATAATATACGTTATTTAAAAATACTTTTATTAACAAATGGCATCCCACAATACTCTCGACTTTGAGCTAATTTCATGTTTTTTAAATAGAGAATATCACTATTATAAAAAATAATGTTCTTTTAAGCCTTTATTACTGCTAAAAATTGAATATAATTGAAAATTATTGGACTTCTCTTAATGGTCTCCTTAACTTCTGGTTCAAGTGCTGAGAAAGTTGAGTAAGAGCTCTTGCCAGCTTTTAAAAGTATAGCGACTCGGTCGAAAAATGACCTCCCCAAAGATTTTTACATTTTTAGACTGGAGACCTTGAAACGGAGAGAAATGCAAAAAAAAAAAAAAATTTGAGGGTATTTTCTATGAGTGTGTATGGGAGGTACGATTTGTTTACCCTGCTTGAAGCTTAATAATTCCTGTGCTTTTTGCCGAAAATTTCTGAAATTTTTGTAGGGAGATTTGCATATTAGAGGAATTGATGTTATTAAATTTTGGTGATTAATTAAAAGTCGAGGGTGGAGAGAGATATAGGGGGTATGTTCAGACTTAATGACGATTTTAGTCTTTATTAGCATTTACAACTTTTTATAAAACCTATCCCTACCCTCAAAATTAAGCTTTGTTTTTTGCCATTTTTTAATAGTTAAAAATATAAAAAGTTTTTATAAAATATGATAACAGATGAATTTTAAATATTGCCGGGAAAGTTATGCAACTCGTTGCTGGATTTTTTTTCTTACGGAGTTGCAGGATTTAAACCTACTCTGTACCAACATACTTCGTAATCGCCAGTACACTAAGCTCTAAAATAATACGTGCTAATAATACTCAAACTAGTAATATAGGTTACTCGTATACAGTAGTTGGGCTACAATGTGGAAAAATTGTAGATCTATAAATTCCCACTGTAGTTTGTCCGTCCGTCTGTCCTCCCTTAACTTCGAGAATGGAGTTGTAAAAGATGAAAGCCGAGATCAGATATGAAGCTTAGGGCGGAAGGTCCCGATTAATTATCTACGAATTTCCCATACAAATCGGAAGTCATGTTATCTGAATTCATAAATTTTTCCCCGAAAAGAGTTAGTTAGATGACCTGCACGACTCTGTTGCTAAAGGAAAAGTATGATGTACAGGGGCAATCCATTACTAATTTGAGATGGAGAGCATATATTTTAAATTAAAAATTGCAGCCCTACATTGTGATGATGTCACAATAAATTTATTCTTATCATCTCACTGGTCAAGTTTAGTTTGAATCTTCAGGAATGTTAAAAAAAAAAGTTTTCATAAAAAATGGGTACTGTTTAGAGATGGCCGTTATTGAAAATTCGACTGTGTTATTTACAAGAAGGGATAAGTTTTAAAATAAAAATACTGTCAATATAATTTATACTTAGTTATACTTAAAGCGCCTTTATATTTCAATAAGAAATGTTTTAGCATAAATTGTGTTTGATTGCATTTTTAACAAATTAATTAACGAATAGAAAGATTTTCGCTTATTAATATTTTTCGGTGTAATTGTATTTTAGACAAATTACACATTCACATTTAATTCGCGTGATTGTTACGCTTAATTTTTACTTATATAAATATATATTTGTTGTTAAATCTTATTGGATTCGTTGATTATCACTTTATTCAATTGCCTAAACTGTCGTCTAGGACAGCAGTAGTCTGCGAGAAAATTTTGGTGATCCATGGAGAAATTTGGACTTTAATCGATTCAAGGTTACACGAAGTATTACAAAATGCTCGGTTGCTTTTTCTCATTCATTGGAGACTTTTTATTCGAATCTAACACGAAAACCAAACACGAAATGGCTGTTATAAATAAATAATAATGTTAATAAATCAATAAATAATGAGTGCAATTGTCGTCCTTCGTGGAAAAGAGCCAAGAATCCATAAACTTATTTCAAACAAGCAGCAACAAACTTCACACTAATTTGTTATAATTGAAAAATTGAATTTCATATTAATAAAGTAAAATGGAACTTTTATGATCATTATTCTAGGTGTTTGTATCGTTTAAAAAAATTATGATAGTAGTTTGAGGGATTCAAAATTGTGTTTAGTGTTTAGTGTTTAGTTTAGTGTTCCGTGAGGTTAAAAAGATTGGTGTTCACCAATAGATCTCATTTAACAATCCTTGATCAATGTTCAAAAAATCGACGGCTAGCGTTAAATATTCAATCAGAAATGCCATGTTTTGTTTTGTTTAAAGTATTATTGTCCTAAAATCTTATTATTATATTAATTTTATATGAAAAATTAAAATTATATTTTACATAAAACTGTACGTAACGCGAAAGTAGACGTTTATCTAAATCTATCACATATAAATATAATAATGTAAAAATATTGTTACATATAATAGTATAATTCAGATAAAAGATTATTATTAAAATTTAAATATATATTTCTTCATAGATATAAACATTTTATACAAATGCTAAAAATCTTTGTAATTATCTGATAGAGATGAGATGCATTACATTGGTTGCATTTCAAATGAAACGGACTGTCATCGGCTTGCTTATCCAGCTGTATTAAAGCCGCTTTATCAGGTAACGCACACATTGTTCAGTAGTGAGAAATGACCTTTAAGTAACACATTCCTTCCATTTTTTTTTCTCTCCATTCTTTATATCAACTTTTACATATCTGTATAAATCATCTAAACAGAATTGATTTAACAAGGTTATCGCTCTAAACTTTTGAAATAAATATTCTTTAGCTCTTCCTCCACGATAATT